GAGTCAACACTTATTTTTAAACAGAATCTCTCGCGTCTCTCTTTCTGTCACCATCTGTCTCCACACGAGGTATGACAAAGTCTATCCAATCATAAGTTGCGTTCCTCTATCTTACTCTGTATTCTCCCTCCCTTTTTGTCTTAAAACTGAGAATGGTGCGAAGACGGTAGCCCATTTGTAGTTAACTGTGTGTGGTATTTGCAATTGATGTGTAATGGCCAGTGAAGGCCAGTTTTGGTAGCCTTTAGCTTTCCAATACAGGCAATCATCCTCTCTGTTACTCTCATTTTTTTTTTTGTCTTGGGAGCCAGAAGAAATCAGAGTGAATTCTGATGAGGACACCCCAATCAATCCACCTGTCATACACACACACACACACACACACACGCCTCACTCTCTTAAGTGGAGCTATCACAGTTGAACAATGTAACAGTATGGGTGGCGCTTCATTTCTCTCGAGTATTCCCATGAATCAACGGGGGCGTAGACACAGGTGACTCTCATTCTTACCTTGCCTCCGTGCATATACATCACACTTCTTAGTTTTTGGCCCCCTTTAACTCACCTACTATTTTCCCCTTTCCTCCTCCTCCCTGCCTTTTTAATCCTTTCTCCCCCTTCTTCCTCTTCCTCATCATCATCCAATGTGCCCTCAGTTTCTCCCCTGTTCCTTTTTGAAGACATGATTCATTTTTACTGTACTTGTTTTCTTTCATCATCCCTTGTCCCACCGCTTCCGCTCACTCTCTCTCTCCTGCCTGTTCCTCTCCGAGAAGAGGAACTGGTTTTGAGAATTGTTAGAAGCCTTGATGGTGGCCCTGGAGAGCCCCTGAGTACTATATGTCTAGTTTAATTATTTATCTAATTTTAAAATCTATATACATCCTTCTGTTTCCTCTTTCGATCGCTCAGTCATTACTGTCCGCTGTCAGCCTGGTTTAAATGGTTCCACAGAGCCCATCAATGTTAACATGGCAAGATTGTCTCTGTGTGTGCGCATGTGTGTAAAAAAGAAAAATGCATGGCCACTCCGTTCCCATAATAGTTTATTGGAATGAGTTACATGAGGGAGCAAACACTGGAGAGCTGCTGTTAGAAGATCCAACACTGAAACACACTTACACAGGAGTGAAGAAAGCCTAGAGGTGTTGAAACATACAGCGTGTGCTAAAGGGTACCCTATGGCCGCTAATATTGAACCATACAGTGTGTTATGCTTTTGCCCAGACAAAATCTTGCATGTTCTTGGTAAAAAAAATATAAAGAAAGCAAGAAACCACAGACCGCATTGACAGTACACTTACAAGGCTGATAAAGGGTGGGTTTCCTTGGTAACAGCAGGTGTATTATGTAGTCATAGACACATGTTAGCCCTATTCAAAGTGATCTTGTGTCCAGTCCATTATGTTCATATCTAGTTTTAATAGTAAATTGCCTAATATGCCTTAAATTATAGCACTGCCATTATAGAAGAGTTATTGGACCCCCTGCAGCATTTTTCATCAACAGACCGTTGATCAACTGTATGACTGCTATACACCAAGTTTTAGAAACAAAATGAAAAATATCTTTCTCAACAATTCTTCATATGAAGAGAGAATAAACAATCTGGCAGAGTTGGGCTCAGAGAACATCCTACTGCTCAAAGTCAGTGAAACCAAGGAGCTGATTGTAGATCTTAGAAATAAGGAGGCAAAGACACACACCCATGTCAACATCAATGTAGATGAGGTGGAGCAAGTGAAACATTTCAAGTTCCCCATCATAAACAACCTGACATGGTCATCACACATCTCCATGCTGGTGAAGAAAAGCATCCTCCTTTCAGTCTCCTGAGCAATAGAGGAGCAATAGAAAGCCTCCTGACAGGAAACACTACAAACTGGCATCATATGTAACAGGAGGGCTCTACAAATAGGGCTATCTGAGTTCTACTCATTAGCCCAGTTTCCACCACTAAACATTAACCTGCTGTCTGCTACATTTCTGAACAGAGCTTAGCACAAACTCATTTGTGGCCTAAATAGGGGAAATGACTCACTGCTTCCATTACTCTATTGAAAAAAAAAGTGAACCAAGAGAATGTCAGGTAGAGACCCAAACAAAGATGAAGAGATGAGGAGGCAGCTGGGAGAGCTTGTTTTCTGTTGTTTGTATCCGCAATTTCATTCTTTCATTCACTACCCAAAGCTCATGACCAAAAAACTGGTAAATGGAGAGATTTGCCTTCAGGCTCAGCTCCCTCCTCACCACAATGGTCCCGTACAATACCTGCCTCACTGCTGACGCCACACCGAACTGAATGTCCATCTCCCACTCCATTTTACCCTCCCTCATGAACAAGACCCCGAGGTATTTGAACTCCCTTCCCTGGGGCACTGGAACACTTCCGATCTGTCTGTGAAAATCAAAAACAGAATTGGTGACAACGCTGGCTACAGGCCAACACCCACTGGCCTCCTTCCTGGTGTCCACCAGCAGGTTCTTAGATTGTCTCCAGTACAGGCAGCGACAATTTCCGAGCGGCCACTTCCACAATGTAAGTTTTGAAACTGGCCCACTCAGATTCCATGTCTCCAGCCTCCACCAGGATGCGCAAAACATTCTTACAGAGGTGGGAGTTGACATTCCCAGTTCACCCTGACTACATGTTTGGGTTTACTAGGTATGTTCGGCAGTCTTCCAAGCCACCCGATCCAACTCACCACCAGGTGACTGGTCTGTTCCTCTCTTCACCCTAGTGTCCAAGAGTTGATCATTGATCTTTTGGTTGGGTATTCTGATACCAAGTACACTAATGAACTGTCCAATGCTCAAACACGGTGTTTGTTATGGCCAATCCATCATTGCACATCTGAGCTTGAAGTCCCCCAGCATAACTATAGAGTCCCCTGTTGGTGCCTCCTTCCAGGATGCCACCCAGAGACACCAAGAAGGCCAGATCCTCCAAGCTGCTGTTTGGTGCAGAAGCACAAACAACATGCAGGGACTTCCTCTCAGAAACGCATGTCTCAGACATATTCTAAGTCCTTCTTTGAGTGAGTTATGATGCCATGGCTCAGTAGGAAAAAAAAAACAGTGGTATTGTTTCCAGGGTTAGGAGTTCCATTCCCACTGGGGCATTTGCTAAAGACGTTTATAGTTTTTACACACCCTGATGCTTATAGATATTTGACATAATGGCAAAGTGTGTCTTTGCTTTGTGATCAAAATGGAAATCTTGATATTAAAGTCCCTGTGGCTGTATGGATCTCAGCACAATAACCTGAATAGTTCAGTTTTGTTTGTAAATGGACCTTTAAAAATGTCCTCCTGATTAGACTCCTGTTTAAACAGCCATAGAGACAGATGTACAGTGGGATAGATACATGGCCAGTGATAAAGGTGCATCACTTGGCAGGCCACAACACACATTTGCAATCAGACAAACACATTGATGCGTACCAGGATACACACATATATACTGACACTTGTTTGTCTCTGAACTTCCCAGAGATAGAAAATACCAACACACACAACACAAAATCACATATAATGACACAAGCACATGGTGACACCCGATACACACCGATTTACACTCGCCAGGTTTCCCCCGAGTGGGTCTGATGGATGTGTGACAGCTGGTCACGCTTTGTGCCTCCCCTAATAAATCCTCCATTCCTCATTCAACTCATAAACTAATTCACAAATCAATATCAATGAAACTACCTTTCAGTTACACGATGCCTCCTTTTCTGTTTGTGTCTTTGTGTGTGTTAGTCGCCCTGTTCACTTTCCTCCTGACTCCCTCTTGATGCGTATTCCCCACCACAATAAATCAATATTAGTAAGACCACCTTTGACTTTCACACTGTGGTTTTTGTATGTCCTGCCTTCCTGGACATGTTCCTAGCTTTAAGTTTCTTCTTTACTTCTTTTTACTTCCTAAAGACATTGTCCATATTTGTTTCTTTTGTGCTTAAATTGTACGATGATAGGAGGCGTGTTTGTCTCCATCATGGACATCAGTCATGGTCAAGCTGGCCATCTCAAGCCTCATTCCATACGATAATTACTGGGCAGTTCATACTGTTTAATCTAGTGACGGTTATACACACACACACACACACGGAAATATCTCTGAGTCTTTCTTTGTCTTTCCCTGACATTCTCCTACAAAACACATGGCAGTGCATGCTTGTCAGGAAATGTTAAGTGACAGATAGTGTTGGGGGCAGACGAATGTCAGAGACACCCATGGTGATCAGAGGTCCATATGTGTCTCATTAGCAGGATCTCAGCTTTGTGTGTGGCGGTGTGTGTGTGTGTGTGTGTGTGTGAAAGGCTAACGAAGGAAGCCTCTATGTCAGGGGTCTCAAACTCAAGGCCCGCCACGCCACGTCATTTTATGTGGCCCGCGAATCCGCCAGCAAAAAACAAAAGAAGTTTAAAAAATAAATTTTAATTTAAAAAATTTAAAGTTAGACTTGATAATAAAAATATCCCCGTATTCGAAATTATGAGATAGAAAGTCAAAATGATGAGATAGAAAGTCGAAGTTATGAGATAGAAAGTCATAATGATGATACTTAAACACACAGTCACAGAAGCAGCTCTTTGGCTGGTTACTGTACACTTGAAATGGAAATGTATTGTGAGTACATTGAAGACTACTTTGAACGTGGCTTTAAAACACATTAAATACTTCACGTGGGATTATGCAAACGCACCCTTGAAAGGATTTTAAGCTTTGAACAAAGTTATCATAATAACTTGTTTGATATTTGTTTTTTCTATTTTCTTTAATAGTTTGATCTTTGATAGAGTAATGTGGGTTTCTTAACCCTAAATTAAAAGGATTTAAGTTATAACAGAAATGTGCTTAAATATATTTTTACATTTATATAACTTAATGTACAATATTTTTACACTTCAATAAACAATAATCAAAAGCAGAGACAGTTATTTACCAATATGTTAGGAGTAGTTACATTTACACCGTCTTACATTTACAACCGGCCCTTTGAGGGCGACCGTGATGCTGATGTGGCCCAGAGTGAAGATGAGTTTGAGACCCCTGGTGTAGAGTCATGGCACTAAGAAAAGTAAGTAAAGTAAAGTAAGTGTAGTGACTTTAACATATAGCCATTTTATATCTTAAAGCCACTGGGGGGCGAACGGGAGAACTTGTTCGGACGCGTGTTCCACAAACATTTCACTGTCCAATGCGCTGTCTGGCTTTCGATCCGTTGATCCGTTGATCCATTTATTCATATGCATATTGCCACCTTAACAGAGTACCACAGGATACTATAAGACCTTGAAACTACAAGCTCATATGCCGGCTGACACGCTACATTGACACGATACCTTGACACGTTGACACGAACAATAACACGGTCAAAAACTGTTAGCTTCCCGTCCACACACACCTGATTCTCATTACCAGGCCCTTACCTATATGCACTTATAGGTTAATATGCCACCCACTGTTCAATGTCAGAACTGCATGTGTAAACCCACCCCAAAGACAAAATAAAACAACAAAACGACATTATGGCTCCAACACACCGGCCCCTAATTGTTAATAGCAGGAGGGCATAAACAATTCAATATATATTTATATAATGGAGCCAATAAATCCATAATACACTGAATAAACAAAACAAACAAAAACCCAAAATTCCCCTAATTAAGGGTAAGAGGTCACTAATAACTTATATTTCAGCTTCTTGTAGAAGCCAAAGTTTGGTCACTGGCCTGTCCAGCGTGCTAGTTTTGGTTTGCACTCGTGCAGATCTCACCAGTCCTTTCCAGTCAGGACAGATCTTGTCCAACTGTGGCTTCAGTAAGCACCATAAAGGAAGAGTTCTCAAGACCTATCCTGACTGGAAGCTGAACTGATTGAAAACATGGATAAGAAAGCAACATGGGACCGCTTCTACACTGAGAGCAGCAGCAGCACAAACACCTTCAAACACTTTGAGTGTTTCTTTGGCTTCGATGCTGTCTGGGACTTCATTATGCCCCTATTGCAGACCAAGCCCCACCCAGACGGTTTGCTCCAAGTCCTGGATATGGGCTGTGGCACTTCTGCTTTAGGGCCCTGTGTTTACAGACACTCTCCTCTCCCGGTCCGGGTCACTTGTGCAGACATTTCCCCCATAGCTGTGCAACTAATGCAGGAACACGTCCAAACCAAAGCCATTCAACCTCACAATCTTTCCTCTCGGCTTGAGTTCGTAGAGCTGGACTGCACACAGCTCCACAAGCACTACGGTTGTAGCAGTGTGGACCTTATAGTTGATAAGGGCACCACAGACGCCTTGTTGAGGTCTAATGAAGAGAAATGGAAGGCCAATCAGGTGCTGAAGCAGTGTTTGAAGGTGTTGCGGAGCTCAGGGTCTCTGCTCCAGTTCTCTGATGAAGACCCTGATGCCAGGCTGCTGTGGCTGGAGACAGAGGCACAGGAGCCGGGGGTGATGGCAGCAGATGTTGGGGTGCAGGAGGTTGGGGAGCTAAGGGGAATGACTTACTACTGCTACCAAGTGACTCCTCGCTCTATTGTGTAGCAACTTTCTTCATCTGGATGGTGATAATATTAATTGAGTAAACTACTGAACTGATTGTAAAAAGTAATTGATCAGGTACACAGACAGAGTGTGACTTATCCACCAAACTGGACCTCCACAGTCCGACAGCAGAGACAACAAGAGACTTACTACTTATAAAATAACCTGAAGGTAAAGAATGACCTCTTTATGAAATGATAAAAGTTGACAAACCACTTAAACTGTCTGAGAAGTTTGAGGGAGGTCAGAGACTTTCTAGTGGGTTGGTGGTTTTGCCCGTCCTGGCTCTCTGTCCTTCTCTCCAGCCCCTGCTCACTCCCCAGACCTGCCAGTCCTGGTCACATGACATCCCCTCCCACCTACACACCTGTTCCCACTTTCCTCATCAGACCTGTAGTTTCTAGAAATCACAGCTAAAAGATTTTACTCGACTATATTTTTGGAGTTTTACGATAATTGTTCTTTGTATATCAGAAACATTTCACCAACAAATACCACACTTCTTATGATTGCAAATTAGTTTGAAATAACATGACATACATCACAAAAAACATAATAAATAGGAGAACTGAAGCCACCGGGAGATAATTGACACACTTATACAGGGAGACACGGTTGTTAAATCAGGAGAAACTTAATTTACAGTGAACAAATACATTTATTAAATTGTGCAAAGTAAAGTTAAAATTTTGGAGAGTCGACACTGGTGGGGGTGTTGAAGACATTAGGTGCAGGCTCAAGATCAAGATGATGGCATGTTTGAGTGGGACTGCCCTCAGTGGAAGAAACCTTGAGCACCGGATGTGATGATGAATGGGGAGGAGGGTCACATCGGTTTGTACTGAAATGACAGCTGACTGCACAGAAGAGAACAGGTCTTTAAAGTTTGACGGGAAATATAGGCCGTGGCGAAATCGCCCACTGTCAGCTGATAGAGTAGGAGCCAGAGAGTCAGAGAGATGTGTGAGTGAATGAGAGCATAACAAGACTGTCCTAATATAGGACGTTAGAGTAAATCCTCAAACTTTACAACTGTATGATTATAAATACTATATTTCAAAATATCACTCCTCTAAGCAAAGCTCTCTAAGTTTTACTGTACTTAACTCAGTAAATAATCAATGCTAACAGTTTGATATTCAAGGAGGGATTTGGTAATCCTAAACTCATCATGGTGGCACCAAACATCCTGAGCCAAATTATGAAAAGTGGT